AAATTACTTTAAAATAAAAATATTTTTTAAAAAATAATCTTACCAATAACATCTATACTAAGACACTGTCACTTTTGTCAAAATTGTTTCTGGACTCTATTTGGTTTCATTGGGCTATTTGTCTACCCTCCTGCTGATACCATAATGTCTTAACATAGCTTTATGATGTCTTGATATCTGGTAGAGTAAGTCCTCTAACTTTGTTTTACTTTTTAGGGATTGTCTAGCTATTGTTGGTTCTTTGAATTTCCAAATAAATTTTATAATCAATTTTTACCCCTTAAAAAAGCTACCCAGATTTTCATTAGAAATGTATTAAAATCAAGTCCAATATTCTTTATAATCTAGCATCTTCCAGCACATGAACATTTACTGTCTCTCCATTTATTTGTCTTTTAAAGTTTCTCTTAATGACATTTTGTAGTTTTCAATGTAGAAATAGTTTTTATATTTATTAGATTTAATTATATATGCTTGATATTTTTGAAGTTATTTGTTTCTGGAGTGTATATAGAAATGCAATTTTGTATGTATTCTTGATATTTGACAATTTAGATAATTTCACTTATTTGTTTTAGTTCCATTTGTGTATTCCTTTGAGTTTTCTATGTACCCACTCACATGTCATCTGTGAATAATAGATTCCAATCATTATACATTTTATATCTTTTGTCTTATGTATTTATAGCTCACATATTTTATCACACTACCTGAGCTCTAGTAAATATTAAGCAGAAGTAATAAGACATCTTGTTTCATTCCCAATCTTGGGGGAAAGCTTTTAGTTTTTCATCACTATACATTAATGCTTATTGTAGGGTTTTGGGGGGGGGGGCTTGATACTCTTGATCAAATTAAGGAAATTCTATTCCTAGTGTGCTAAGAAGTTTTTTTCTCTTTTTAATTATAAATGAGTACTTATCATTTACTTCTATTTGTGTGACTTTCTGAATTACTAGACTGTGAACTCCGACTTTTAAAATCACATTCAAATATATTTGTTGAGTGTCTGTACTCTACCAAGCCATCTGCTTGGTGTTGGAAATACAAAATGAACTGTCATAGAGTGGGTACCAAATAAGTGCTTCTGAAGCAGAACTAAAAAAAATGACTAACTGTGAAAATAATAAATGCCAAAGAAAAACTATATTTTATTAAAATAATGAACTTTAAAAATTTAACTGGTTATAATCATTAGAATGACTTTAAACTGAACAAATATGCACAATTCAATTTGAATTATTTTTATCTTTCAGAGTTGGGATGAAGGTTTAGCGAAGATTGCTAAAGCATGGGCAAACAAGTGCAAATTCGAACACAACACCTGTTTAGCAAAATCATATAAATGCCACCCAAAATTTCAGTACGTTGGAGAGAATATCTGGTTAGGTGGATTAAGCATATTTACACCACACTCCGCTATCGAGGCCTGGTATAATGAAACTGAATTTTATAATTTTAATAAGCTGTCATGTTCCAATGTTTGTGGCCATTTTACACAGGTAAGTACTTGACACTTAATTAATTATTTATGCGTATTTCAATCACAAGACAAATTTTTAGCATTTTTATTTTAGAGTTTCTTTTGAGTCTCTGGAAGACTCCCTCATTTGGAAGATATTTTTACTGGGAATAGAACTCTATGTAGTGAGTTATTTTTTTTTCCCTTGAACTTTAAATATCTTACTCCACTATCATCTCACCTGCATTGTTTCCAACAAGAAATCTACTGTAATCTTTTTATTTATTTTTCTGTATGTAATGTGTCTTTTTTCTTCGACTGCCTTTAAATTGTTTTTCCTTTATTACAGATCTTGAGCAATTTCACCATAATGTCCTGCAGTTTTCTTCATGTTTCTTGTGCTGCAGTTTACTGAGCTTCTTGGAACTGCAGATCTATAGTTCAAACCAAATTTAGAAAAATGTTAACCATTGCTTTTTGAAATATTTCTGTCTCTCTCACTCTTCTCTTCCGAGAGCCCAGTTACCCATGTAGAAGGCCACTTTAAGTTTTCCCACAGTTGACTGTGGGAAATTTTTGGTCAAACTGGTCAAATTTTCCTGCTTCTTATCATGCTGGGTAAATTTTATTATATTCCCAACTTTGTCAAATTTGCCTGTTGGATGCTGGATTTATTTATATATCTTATAAATATTCTTAACTGTCTTCTGGGATATAGTTATCTGGAATTTATTTGACCTTTTTGGTTCCTACTTTTAAAATATGTTAGATGGAATGAAAGCAGTGTTTAGTCTAGGGCTAATTCTCTCTCACCAGTGGAGCAAGATTCTTCTGCACACTCTATCCGATGCCCCAGAATTTAGTAAATTTTCCAGTCTGACTAGTGTGAACAGGCCCACTGTTCCTGTCCCTGGCCCTGTGTAAGACTCGGTATTCCTTCCTCTAGTTTTTATAGATGGTGCTTTTGTGGGCCTGGGATAGTTTTTTGACATGTTGTGCTCTGATTAGTGCTCTGCTGAATTGATGATGAGGACCCCCTACAGATCTCCTTAGTTGTGTCACTGTAAGATTTTCATCTCTCCAGTACTGTGCTTTCTAAGCTCCTGCCTCCTGGGTCTCCCCAGGCTCTCAGCTCTGTCTCTCAACTATGTGAATCCCTCAAGTTTCTCCCGGTTTCCCCACTAGTCCCACTCCCAGCCATGGCCTGGCAACTCTCTCAGTGCAATAAGACGAAACAATTGGACAGCTTGCATCTTTCCCCCCAGCTCTCCAGGGACACTATCCATTGTCGAAAAACATTATTTCCTATAATTTTTCCAATTCTTCTGGTCGTTTTCCTTGGGAGTTTTAAGTGAGAACTGGAAGTCACTTTTTAGCTAAACTAATCCTGGACATGGCATCGAGCTCCTTGGAAGAACAATCTAAGCAACAGAAAGAGCTAACTTTATTCTCCAAACTCACTCATTTGTATCAGCTGAATTAATGTATACTACCTTAAAGCAAGTCATTTTTATTGGAGGTGCACTGAACAAAGAAATTAGCAGTTTCCATGCTTCCCTTCTCATCACTCTTTGTCCAATAACCATGCTGTAAATGTGGAAATCCTGCTCAGGACAGATGTTGTTTGCAAAGAATATGGTTTGGTTTCTGCTGAGAAAGTTGAAAGAATGGGATCAAATGTCAAGTATCCTGACAACAAGTAAAATGCAATACAGTAGTCCTCCCTTTTCTGACAGGGAAATGTTCCAAGACCCCAAGTGGATGCCTGAAACTTCACATGGTATCAGACCCTACAGATACTATTGTTTTTCCTCTACATAGATACGTATGATCAAGTTTAATTCATAAATTAGGCACAGTAAGAGATTAACTATCAATAGAATTTAACAGTTACAACAAGACACCTATCATATAATGAGGAGTAGTGAGGTGGATCAATGCAGGCACTGTGATGTAGCAGTCAGGCTACCAGTGACCTTCTGACAGCACGGCAGAAGAAGGATCATCTGCTTTGGGTGATCCTGGATCAATGTGCCACAGCGATGTCAATGGCTGGTTGGCAAGAGCAGACGATGTCAATGGTTGGAGATCCCAAGTGGAATGGGAAGGGACTGTATGAGATTTCGGAAAAGGACCCTATGAGATTTCATTAGGCTACTCAGAAAGGCACGCAATTTAGGGCTTATGAACTGTTAACTCCTGCGATTTTCCATTTAATAGTTTTGGACTTCAGTTGACTGTAGGTAACTGAAATCTCTGAAAGCGAACTGGCAAATAAGGGGGGACTACTGTATCCCTAATATGGCATCAAAGCTGAGGCACAGACTTTATATAATCTTTGTGTCCCCTTTTGTTACAAGGAAAAAGGAACCTGTTCCCAAATACCCCTTCTCCCTTCACATTGCTACATCAGAAATGGGAGCTCACTCCCCATTGGCCAATTTACTTACATGCTTAAATAATTAGGAATGGGTGCATTCTCTCTATTGGTTCAACTGTATCTTGCTTAATTTTCCAAACAAAATGAGCTAAGAATTTCTTGCATTTATCATCTGCAGATAGTCATGCTGAAGTTATAGCCAATGTTCATATTAACATTACATCTAGTCTCTTTAATGAAAGCAATACATTCTAAACCTATATGTAGTATTTATTTTTAGCATTCCAAAACCAAAAAAAGAACCACAATTTAAATATACTAATCAAATAAAATTGCATGGTATAGTCAGTTATTCATGAACCAAATTTTTAAACATGACTTCTTGAAAATACATATACTTGCAGTCATATAGTTCTTAACTTTCTGAAAATATTCAAAAGGAAAAGGAACGTTCAGTGATCTAGCTTAATCTCATTTTATTAGGTGGGAAACAAGCTCTGAATCAGTCTGCCACTCTCCAAAGCCACACGTGGTTAGAAGCAAAACTCATTTCTTACTTCTCGGTTCACTGTGTTTTTTACTGCACTTTGCTCCCTCTTAGGCAGCCAAAGAGCCACTAAAATATGTTTTGCTAAACGGCTGATTCTGGCTACATCAAGGCCATGGGAAACAATGACTAATACATTAGTCTATAAAAAAATATTAGCACATTTTGTTAATTGAATTGTAAAATCAATGAGTTCGGGAAATTCATTTATCTTGTCAAAATCAATTTTCCTCAGATTATTTTGTTTTTCAAATGAAGTAAATAAGTTTTTTTCCCCTTGTTCACTTGGGAAATTGACAAAAATTCCACTCTATCATTGTCACTAAGGAATAGTTAACATTCTTCACTTCTTTATCTCTCTCCCCCTGGCTGGTTTTCCATAGGAGTCTTCTTCCTTTTGAATAACTTTGCTATTCTTTGCAACTAGACAAAAATAAAGACTCACCATCTCTATGTCAGGCATTTTTTTTTTTTTTGCAGTAAACTCAACATGTTCTTAATCTCTATCCCTATCTGCTTCTTGTGATTTGACAAAGATAAGAATATGGTTAAGATCACAGAATTTAAAATCTGATCATTAATTTAGAATTTTTCTGAGAAAAAGAAATAAAAGTTAATTACTGTTTTTACTTATAGTCTGGTTTCAATGTTGTTTGTATGATATACCCACGGAGAAAATAAAAATATATTTCATAAGTCATCCAGAAGAAATTATGATTTTGGCTATATAATATAATCTCCTTTTGATTTATGAGAATTACCTGTGAGGAAAAAACTAGGTAGCCCTCTTGAATGCAGCCTAAACAAAATAATTAATTGTTTTAAACTAAATATTAGAAATTAGGAAAAAATAGCCAATAAATATTTATGTACATCCATTTTTTTGTAGCATGACAAAGATTATACCTGTTCCCATAATGCATTGTTTATATAGAGTTGTTTTGCATATTTTATTTTAAAATTCCTTTCTTTATAGGTAGTTTGGGCCGATTCATATAAAGTTGGTTGTGCACTTACAGCCTGTCCTAACCTTGGGGATTATCGTGCTGCAATATTTATATGTAACTATGGACCTGCGTAAGTTATTTTGCTATTAAATAAATTTTAAATTGAAATATATGTTAAGAATTGTTTCCAAAAACAGGATCTTACACTAAAGAGAAAAGTATATTTTTGTTAAGTGGAGTCTCCCTCCATTTTGCTAATCAAAAGAAAAAGATGAAATAAAAGGTGGTAAGAGAATGTGCAAAAAATTATACATGTCATGAAATATTTAATCTTGAGCGTGAAAATGAAGGAGATTGTTAAGTAAAAAAGGACATAATATAAAATACTTTGGCATAGTAATATCTAAATACTGTTGCACAAAATAGGTCGACAGATGCTTGTATAATATAATATAATGTAATTATAATATAATGCAATATAACTGGAATGAGTAAATGATTGAGAATGATAGTGAAAAACACATTCTTCTAAGAAAAGAATACCGTAAGTTTTTGACTGCCTTGCTGATAATTGCATTATCTAAATGGAATACAACATAAGCCCAATGGGTATCTCCAAAAATGAAATTCTGGAACTCTAATTGCAAAATATCTGTACAAGGAAGAAGATAAAATCAGTTAAAATCCAACTCTGAAACAAACAAAAATTTAAAAATAAAATGTAGAAAAGATGAAAAAAAGGCAAAGAATAAACATACAAGTTTGGCAAAAAGAAGCTGAAATATGTCAAAATTGCTATGGAGAGGTATGAATGTGTATATATCTTTCTCTGTTTTCTTCCATTCCCTCTCAGTCAGAAGCAAAAACAAGAATGATGAATACATAACCTCAAAGCTTGGGGCAGGGTACAATTTTTATAAATACCAGAGAAATTGCAGTACAAAAGATAAAAGAGCATCAGCTGTGAGATAACTTTAGTGGGAACTGATTTCCTGAAAGACACAGGAACACAAAAATATTTGAAGAAATATGGCCTGAAACTTTCTATGCTTAAGGAAAATTATACTCACATAACCAAGAAACCTTACAGGCCCCAATCACAAGAAACATAAAATAAATGATACTAACTCGCTTTATAATAAAAAATTTCAAAACCAGTAATAAAGAGGAAATCTTAATAGCAGCCAGAGAACAAAGACATGTTACATAAGAGGAACAAAGATGGGGATGACAGCAGATTTCTCATTGGAAACAATGCAAGAGAGAAGACAGCAATATCTTTAAATACTGAAAGAATAAAAAAAAAATCTGTCAACCAAGAATTCTATATCCTGTGAAAATATTTTTTAAAGATAAAAAAGAAAGATGTTTGAACCACTGGAGATGGTAACTACATTGGTAAATATATAGTATGTTTTTCTTATTATTTTTAAAAGATAATTGTTTAATTGAAGATAATAGAAGTGTATTGGGAGGGCTATAAAATATGTAAAATTAAAATTTGTAATAACTACAGTGCAAAGGCTGAGAGGGGAAAATGAAAGTGTATTACCTGAAGGTTCTTCTACTCAATGTCAAGTGGAATAATTTAACTTGACTGTGGTAAGTAAAAGATGCATGCCATAAACTCTAAAGTAACTACTAAAATAACAGAACAAACAGTAACAGCAAGTAAGCCAAAAAGCAAGTAAAATTAAACCTTAAAAAAATTCAATTAATCCCAACGAAGGCAGTGAAAAAAAAAAGAACAAAGGACAGATGAGACAAGTAGAATAAATAAGATTTTATAGCATCAAGCCTAACTGTATCAGTAATCACATCAAATGTAAATAATACAAACACCCAAATGAAAAGGCAGAGATTGGAAGATGGAATAAGAAATCAAGAACTAGTTATACACTGCATACAAGAAGTATATTTTAATTTAAAGACACAAATAGACAAAAGTAAAAGAACGAGAAAAGGTTTACTATGCTGACATTAGTAAAAAAAGAAAGCAGCAAGGTCTATGTTAATATCAGACAACGTAGATTTTAGAGGAAAGAATATTACCAGGGATAAAGAAGGCCATTTCAAAATGACAATGGCATTAATTAATCCAGAGGCAACCTGGATGAAATGGAGAAATTGCTTGAAAGACATAAATTACAAAGGAGAAATAAAAGGAAAAGAAAACTACAGAGCAATATCTCTTAACAAACATAAGTACAAAGGTTCTAAACAAAATTTGGCAATTGAATCCAATACAGTAAAAGCATAATGCACCTTGTCCAAATGGAGTTTGTTCCAGTAACGTAGGGCTGGTTTAACATTCTAAAAAAAAAATGTAATTCACCATATTAATCAGCCTAAAAGTAAAGATTATATGATCATCTCAATAGACTGAAAAAGTCAAACATTCATTCTTGATGAAAGTTCTTAGAAAACTAGAAATAGAAGGAACTTCTTACATCTAAAAAAGGGTATCTACGAAAAGCCTGTATGTAACATTATACCAGAGTTTTTTTTTCTGTAAAGTACCAGACAGTACTTTTGCTATACTTTTTCTGTAAAGTACTAGACAGTAAATATATTAGGCTTTGGATGACACATGCATTGTTACATATTCATCTTTGTTTTTGTTTAGTTTTAAACAACCCCTTAAAAATACTTTTAAAAACTCTTAGCTCACAGACTGCTCAGAATAAGATCACAAGTCAGATATGTCCTATGGGTCATA